AATTAAAGCAGTTTTTTAAAGATTTATTTATTTGTGCATACAGAACTGGGGTACAGGCCAGAGGTGCAGGGGCGGTGAGAGGCTTCACCAGAGACGAGTGGGGAGCAGAACAGGCTGACCAGCGGGCGGGTCAGGACAGGTCTGCTGCGCCGCCTCTGTGCCACTCCCGGCGGGAAAGGGGGAATCGAACTGGCTCTGAAGCAGCTGGCTCGCTTGCAGGGCTGCGCTTTAACCTGCTGCGCCAACAGGGAGGACCCGTTTTTTTGGCTTTGAATGATCTTCCTGCATCATTTGTAGTGGAACGACCGGGTGCAGGGGGACAGGGGGCGGAGGGCAGGAGGCTGGAGGGCCTCGCAGTCGCTGAGAAATCTCCACTCCTTCTGGGCTCGCAGGCTTCCCTCGTGGTCTTCCCGCTGGCCTCCCACTCCGCTGCTGCCCTCACGTGCTCCGACTCTCCGCCCAGGTGCGCCCACCCACGCCACACTCCAGGTGCCGCCATCGGGCGCGCATTTAAGATCACAGGTGTCCATCATTGGTGCTCATGGCAGGAAGGCGGATAAAACCGGATCACACCCATTTACCCGGCACCAGCCAAACAGGGCTGGCTCGGAAAGCACCTTTAGGTGGGGGCCCAAGAAAAGGATCAGACACAGCCGAACACGTCTGGAAGGAAAAGAGCAAAATCAAAACCCAGGCTGCCGTTCTAACTTCCAGTGTGTCCCTCAGCCACGCCTGTTTCAATCAGTCCGGGACCACAGCTCCCCCACGAGTCTCGGCTCCATGTGCCACCCCGAGGTCTCCAGGCTCCCAGCCTTCTTCCTTCCCCAATTTCTTTTCCCTGCTCAGCTCCGCCCTCCCCGTGGGTGGAGCAGGGAACTGGAACTTCCCCTTTCCCTGGGGACCACCCTGTGAAAATTGCCATCTTCCACGTCATCATCTTTTTGTTCTCGGTCTCTGAAATTCACAGCAAAAGGAACACCAAGCCTCTCTGGGGACATGGACGAGGACCCTGCAGTCAGACCTCCGTTCCTTGAAGTAAAAGTCCGTCTGGCAGCGCCCCATGCTTCACAGGGCTCCTCACCCCGTGTGCACAGTCTTTATTAAAGCTGGAGAAATATGCAGTAGCTGTCCATTAAAAAAAAAAGTGCACTAAAGTCTTAGAAGCTCTGATCAGGGCTAGGGGCAGGGGGCCCAGGTAACACACTGCCGGCTGAGTTAACTTCCCACCCCATGGACAGGTCTGGAGAGCGCTGGGACAGTCAGGGATATCTGAAGACCAGCTCAGTACAGTGGGAAGAGCCTGCGGCCAGGTGCCCAGGGCCATAAGGCACTGCAGCTGGCATCACAATCTCCTGGCACCAGTGAAAGCCGCTCACTGCTGAGCCGTCTTTGTTCAATTCACTATAAAAAGACATCTGGGAGTGACATGTCAAGGCAGTTTCTTTGGGGTGTTAACACCCATCTTTCAGATTGCTGGCTGTCTGATTAAAGCACCCCCAAAAGATTCAATTCCTGTCTCTACTGGCATCGGTGGTGACAGGTGGCCCAGCTGGCCTTCTGGTCAACTTCACACTGCCATTACCCAGGGGTCAACAGCAAGGGTGACAAGAGAACACAGGTGTGGTGTTATGCTTTTTTTTTTTTTTTTTTAACATTTACTCATCCATTCAGTTCATTAATTCAAAAGTGTTTGAGCACTTACAAGCCTCAAATTGAAATAATTAGCTAAAAAGGAAAGGCAATTTGCAGAGTAGGAAGTAAGGCCGAGTCCTAGACTGTGGATGCTATTTTGTTTATAGAATGCTGGAGTAATGCACACCAAACTGTTTGCACATTCTGGTGAAGGAGTAGGGTGAAGACTTAACGTTTCATATATCTTTCTGTGTTTTTGAAATTTTATAGAGAACTCATCAAAGGGCAATGGGCACCCTCTCTGGTGGCTCGGGTTAAAGCCTAGCACTGTGGGCCCTCCCAGGTGGCGCAGCGGGTTAAAGCATAGCACTGAGAATCTAAAGCCGCTTCCGCATGAGTTCGATTCCCACCTGCCCCGGAGGTGACCACAGGGCGCGGCAGACCTCTCCTGACCCGCCCCCTGCTCCCCGCAGCAGTGTACTTCGTTGATCTACCTGTTCTGTTTCCCACTCTGTCTCTGGTGAAGCCTCTCACCACCCCTCAGCCTCTGGCCTGTACCCCAGTTCTGTATGAATAAGTAAATAAATCTTTAAAAAAGAAAAAAAAGCCTAGCACTGTGAAGCTGTCCACAGCCACTGCAGCACGAGTTTGATCCTGGCCAGGGAGGGACCCACAGGGCTAGCAGACCCCTGCTGTCTCCAGGCTGCTGCCCTCTGCATTTCAGTGGATTTGCCTGTTCTACTCCCCAATGCACCTCGGGGGACTCCTCTTGATAAAGAAAGGGATGCAGGGGGAAGCATCACAAGATTGATTCACACAGGGGGATTGGTAGAAGGGGCTAGTGTAGCAACTAACATAGCCATTAAATCAAGGTCCTCAGGTTCAAAGCCTGGATGGCAGGCTGTGGAGGAGAGGTAACCAGCAGATAGCAGACTGTTGGGGGGATTCTATTCAAAGTCAACAAACCCAGGCTCACAAGGAGTGAGCGCTCCCAGAGACAGGCTGTCAATATCAGGGCAGTCTCTGCACCACACTGGGCAGCAGTCCTCTGCCCACTGTGACTATGCAGGTGCTTCTTTCCACCCACTCTCCCTCTGCAGGGCAGCAGCCTCCTGCCCGCTAGTGACCTGCACCTGCAGGGACCGCTCTGCACTGACCTCCCTCAGTGGAGGCTGGGGCAATCTCCTGCAGCCATGCAGGCCTCTCTCTCTGCAAACCTGTCCCGTCTGGGGCACCTCTTGCAGCCCGCTTGCACCTATGCAAATGTCTTTTCCTCTCCTGTCCCTTTCTAATAAACTTACTCTTTAAATATAACCGAGTCTCTGTCTACTGGAGATTCTCACCACGTGCTGCTGAAAGGGGAGTTCTGGTGAAACCTTCCCCAGAGTGAACCCAAAGACCCCGAACTCCAAAAGACATCAGTCTCACCCCCCCCCCGGCCTGTACCCCAGTTCTGTACGCATCCATAAAAAGGTAGGGTTGGGAGGGGCAATGGCTACCTCCTCTACAGTATCTGCTCATTGTTTCCATGTCCTACTCAGCCCAAACAACGGCGCAAAGTCGGTACTGAATAGGCGTGCTGGAGTGAAAGGACTATCGGGAGGAAGGATAAATTTCAGGATAAAGCTCCAAAGCACAAATTAACGTCAACCATCCCGTCGTTAATGAGGTTGCAATCCTGTAGCCGCCGCGGGCCGGGAAGGCTTTTCTCCCCGCAACTGCCTGCAGCCAAGCAGCGCCTCCTGTGCAGCTGTCCGGCCACGGGCCTCCAGATCCGACAGCGGCAGTGGGCCCGACGCGCCCGCGGCGCCTACGCAGGCGTCACGCCGAGCAGGCCGGGCGCTCGGATCCTCGCTCCCGCGTCCAGGGCGGCGGGACTCACACCTGGCTGGCAGGTCCAGTTGGACCAGGTCTGGGGCGGGCGGGGGGCGGCGGCGG